ACCAGTGCAATTTTTGCCATTAAGTGTAGCAATAGCATATTGCAACAAAATAGCATATTGCTACACTACACTAATAGCACTACACTAATAGCCATAATAGCCATTAAGTGTAGCAATAGCATATTGCAACAAAATAGCATATTGCTACACTACACTAATAGCAATAGCGAATTCCTTGTTGCATAGCTTGCACACAACCATGCTGTTATCGACGCGTCCATCCGTTCGTTTGTTGTAACAACATTTCCCAGCCACCGGCCAACCAAAGCGATCTCGTCAGCTTCTTCGTCATGAACGCTAGTTGGTGCGCAAGTATAATCGGTCCGCCGAAACTCATCCAGTGAGAAACGTTCCGCGGTGCAAAAATAAGTGCGATTAAAAATATTTTTTTGTGTAATTAATTAACGCGTTAAAGTGTGTAATTAATTAATCTTAATTAACGCGTTAAAGTCCCGGCCCTAGTTATAATTGATCTACTCCTTTCTGATTGGTCAGATTGCCCAGTCTGTTGTGATTGATCTACTCTGCTCTGATTGGTCAGATGGCTCAGTCTGTTGTGATTGATCTACTCTGCTCTGATTGGTCAGATGACCCAGTATGTTATAATTGATCTACTCCTTTCTGATTGGTCAGATTGTCCAGTCTGTTGTGATTGATCTACTCTGCTCTGATTGGTCAGATGACCCAGTATGTTATAATTGATCTACTCCTTTCTGATTGGTCAGATTGCCCAGTCTGTTGTGATTGATCTACTCCTTTCTGATTGGTCAGATTGCCCAGTCTGTTGTGATTGATCTACTCTGCTCTGATTGATCAGATGACCCAGTATGTTATAATTGATCTACTCCTTTCTGATTGGTCAGATTGCCCAGTCTGTTGTGATTGATCTACTCTGCTCTGATTGGTCAGATGGCTCAGTCTGTTGTGATTGATCTACTCTGCTCTGATTGGTCAGATGACCCAGTATGTTATAATTGATCTACTCCTTTCTGATTGGTCAGATTGCCCAGTCTGTTGTGATTGATCTACTCTGCTCTGATTGGTCAGATGGCTCAGTCTGTTGTGATTGATCTACTTTGCTCTGATTGGCCAGATGACCCAGTCTGCTATAATTGATCTACTCCTTTCTGATTGGTCAGATTGCCCAGTCTGTTGTGATTGATCTACTCTGCTCTGATTGGTCAAATGACCCAGTCTGTTGTAATTGGTCGACCTCTTATAGCACGTCGGAAACCAAGCGGCCATTACCATATCTGATTTTCAGCCCCGGATCTTCCTCAACACTTGAATACACAGTTATACAAACAGTCACGATGGAGTTGGTTACCATTTCAATTTGAGTGTGAAGCATCAAAAAGCCCCCCAGCCCTGGAAATATGGGGGGCATAATGGGGTTTCTTTAACTATTATAACTATCAATCTGGTTCCTGCAAGCAGGTTAGTAAGCTTTTTGTAAAGTAGTCAATGGAAAGAAATAATAATGAATCAAAATAATTAGTAAATAATAAATCTTCAGGAATAGTACATAAAAAATAATAATAGGCAGTAAAAAAAAATTGTATTATTTAAAATTTGGCATTCACAAATGAAAGTGCACTATTTAAATTGACTGTGCTGTAGAGCTGCAAATAACATGCAAAACATGAGCTCATTATTCCAGCCATTACTGCTGTTTGGAGGCTTCCATAAATATTTAGTTTATATGTATATGTATGCTTCAACTAAGTTCAATGGTACAAAACTCAAATGTTTAGTATAGTGTCCTGGAAACCACTTAGTACTGCACTGTTGTGGCAAGTTTTGCATGGATGAGCACCACTTACGTTTTTCTTCAGGAAATGTAAAATGTAAAAATCATGTATATAGATTGCATTTTACAAACAACTAAATAGTAATGTTTTATGTTATTCACAATTTCGTATTGTCTTACGATGCACTAAAGTATCAATGAACAATGAGTTCAAACTTTAAAATAAAAGTCTTCAAATTCCCCAAAGATTTTACTAAACGCACTGATTAAAGGATTTTTGGGGTCATTCTATTCGAACAATAGACCAGAATAATTCTTACAGAAGGATTTATAGCAATTCTGTGCCATGAAGACTAAAATATATTGTCATGACTGCATTCTCTATATTCCTACAATTCTCTGGAGAGTGTGTAAAGAAGTTTAAACAGCCTTTGTTATATGACTTGACTCTGTTCATTGGCAGCCCTGTTGCTTTGACCTCCATGATTGTGGAAGCAGAGGGAAGCAGCATTATCCCATAATGGGATATGGAGTTGCTTCATCAGGGCAAAAATAACTCAAAACCACACAAACGCCTCTGAGAGAACAGTGGCATGTGACATTGATATTTAGAAACAATTCACATTACAGTATCCGTTTCATCTTACACTATTCACACCAGCACTAAATCACAAACATTTTTTTTTTATTACAGGCTGTTCCAAATACTTATTAAAGGGTACTTAACACACAAAGTTTCTGCCAATCTCATGTTAATCTTGAGTCTATAGAGTAGTATTGCATCCTTCATATCTCAGAAGAGTTTTTAGTTTTATCAGATTTATAAAAGACATATACAGCTGTACTGTATTACCGTTTTGGCTGCAATCAAACCTACCATTAGCGAGTTGATGAGTATGAGGGATAGTATCCATTACATCAGAATAGCCAAAAATAGCCAGATTGTGGTCAGGTTGAATGTTAATACTGTATGCGCTTGAAAACAATAAAACAAATGCTAAACCAGAAATCAGAATATGGGCAAACCCTAAATAAATGTGCCAATGTCCCCTCCGGGGTATTTTGCACCTATCACATTGAGAAGATATGGAGGGAAATATTTTGTTTAATCTAGTTTTGGAGTAACGAATGCGGTCTATAACTTTGAACTGGATTATTTTCTATCTCAAATTCACAAAACAGCTCTTTATTCTCGACAGGCCTTCCCAGATCTCAATAGACACTCAGACACTTCATCGTTCAGCTCAATAGACCAGGCTACTTTAAGGTGGTTGGTGCATATGTTGCAAAAGCACAAACAAAACAAGATACCAAATGTATAGTTTCAGAATTAGAAGATAAAAGCTCACAAATAATATGGTTTTCAGCATAGGCTGGGGAAAAATAAATGGGGGCTTTGGTCAAAAATGCACCAGCAAATTTTAAACTAAATCTAATAAAGTGAAAATGAAAAATAAAAAAAGTCGATTGTGGCATTAAATTTAAATCGGCTCATGTTGCATCATACTTTTTAAGCGTTTTATAGCGTTTTGAGCTTACGAATTCATTGGCCAATCAGAGGCGCTGATTATGTTTTATTATTTTTGGTTTTGTTCAGTGCAATTCTGCACTCTCACGAATACTCTCTCGTCATAAACTGACTAAATATTAAATTTATATATATAAATATAAATATATAAAAAAATATATAAACATTGAGTCTTAGCATCGGGTTAAAACTCCGCAACAGTAATTTTGCTTTGCCAAAATATACTTTCAAGTTGAAACATAAGCTAACTGGCTATGATCAGATATAAGTAATCAGTTCTAGTGTATGATTTATGAAAATCATGAAAAATTTATGAAACATTAATAATCTCAATCTGTCGGATGCTGAAGCCTCCAAATATCAACCATATTTTTTTATTTGATTAAGTTGTGAAGTGTTTGTATGGAGATAATTATTGGTGGTGGTTTTGAGGAAATTCAATACATGTAGGGATCTATATTACATATGGGGATTTTGCATCTGGAATTACACTAAAGACTTTGCAAAAAAAAGTAGCCTGGTTAAAACCAGACCATTCTCAGTTGTAACTGAGTTATGGTCTGGCAAACCGTCATAGACAAATCATTTCCAGAGGGGCGTCACCAACGGACGTCGCGGATAGACCTAAACCCAATCAGAGCGATGAAGGAGATGACGTATGCAGAGCGGCGGAGAAACATCTCCGAGTGTTGTTCTTTGCTCGGTTTTTAACTAAAAGGAAACGTTCAAATCGCTTAAAACAGACGCGATAGCTGATTGGAACGAGTGATGTTCGACGGCGGCATCCATCTTTGTAATGTAGGCTACAAAATCTGCTTCAAAATCCCAGCGCTGTCGTCATCGTGTAAAGCCCGCCCCAACGCTTCTGATTGGTGCCTCGATTTCGATGGATTGGAAATGGGCTTGAATGGGCTTTGCCAGACTAACTTTCAGAGCAAATCTAAATTTGCCGGAAGTTGTCTGGGTTTTCCCAGGCTACAAAAAAAGTAGAATTAATTAAATAGTTTAAATTAACTAAAGTATAAAGAGAATTAATTTGTTCAGATACCATTATATATCTTAACCATAGTGAATCAGGGTAAGACAAAAACACGTTTTGGAAGAAGGACTGATGATGTATTGATTCTTTTATATTTGGTTAATTTTAAACAAAAAGTTACATAGTGTATCTTTAATAAACAGCATAGGCCTGTACTGTATGTTGTTTTAAAATAATAAACGAAGCAAACTTTTTATGAAATATATAAAATTGCAAAGTGTGATTGTGCTAAAATAAATGTCACTTTAAAGATAAATAAATAGGCCCTATGTGTCCAAAATACTTTTTGTGGGCACTGTAGCCTCTTCAAGCTCCATTGTGGAGGACTGGACAGGACTGGTGATGAATTGATTGTTTTAAATTTTGTTAATTTTGAACAAAAAGTTAGTAGGCTACATAGTGCATATTTTAATAAACAGCATAGGCCTGTAAGCAAACTTTTTATGAAATATTTCAAATTGCAAAATGTGATGTGCTAAAATAAATGCCACTTTAAAAAAATTAAAAATACGTGTCCAAAATACTTTTTGTGGGCACTGTAGCCTGTTGAATCTCCATTGCGCGCGCGCGCGCACACACACACACACACACACACACACACACACATCAACTGACACTGAGACAAAACAATGCTGCAAATCACGGCGTGGGACTGTAATGAGACTCAAGCTCAATCCACTCACCTGTGTCGTGATTATATCCGCTCGTGTTTGTGCTCTCCAGAATGGACAGAAGCCCAGCTGTTATCACAAACAAGAGAGAGAAACTTGCTGGTCCCAAAACTTTACTCCCGCAGTCCAGCTGAACCATCATGTCAAACTGCACAGAGGGGAAGACAGATCACCCCTGGTACATCTACAGTCCATTTAAATGGAGATAGTTTGAGTAGGAACTTTTGCCTCAGTCTAATGCATCGGTGGTTTGGACCCATCACACAAAAGAACGGTGCATTTATTACGCCAGAGATCTGCAATGATCATCATCAGTCCGAAGCAAATAACCCAGCATAATAAAGTGTGTGAATCCGGTGCAGGGGCGAGTCTGGACTCCGTTAAATCATCTGGGACGACTGGAGTTACTGATGCCGCACACACACATAACAGCAGTGAACTGTGTGTGTTTCAGTACAACTTTGTCAAAGTTCCGCCCTCTGGCAGGAGGAGGAGGCTTTCTTTGTGTTCAGTGTGTCAGACTGAACTGAACCCGTTCTAGTCTTTGTTTGGTGCTTTCCGTGTTTCAGGGACTCTCGTCTCATCATTTAAACAATACTTAATAATTTGGCATTGCATAGAGCAGAGTAAAGGAACATTCACACCGGAAGCGTTCCTGTGCAGTTTTATTTATTGAACACGTCAGACGTCTTGGCCGTTGCGTTTTATCGTCATTGCAGTTTATAATATTCGACCTGCATTCTGTTCAATTCCTTTTACTTACGGATTGCTATTTTTGAACGCAAGAGTCTATATTGATGTTCATGTTGAGAGCATTAATAACAATGCCAATAATCATCAGTTCATGTCCCTCTATTATGCAATCCATCAATGATTTCAAGGCCTATGTTTATCTCCACTTGGACATGGAAAAAAAAACAACTTATTTTATGTTGCACACAAAAAAAGTATTATAGACGTTATGTAGCTCCGCCCCTTTTCAGCACTGCGCTCGTTGTGTTCTGTCTTCCGGTTTGTATTTCCACAGCATGAAGGTAAGATCTTCCGGATTTATGAATGAACCGCTCTTTTTAAATTCTTCCCGGTCTACTGACATTCGTGACATCTGCTTCAAACATTACAATACTCATTATAACTTTCCTTAACTCTACAATAAGTAAATTACTTCACCAGCTAATTACTCTTCCACAGCGATGGCAAATAGCCTATACAGAGCTACCGCAAAAAAACTTTTGTTTTTTACATAAAAAAAAAAACAAGTTCAAAGACAAAAACTGGCACATTAGGTCTGTGTTTTAGGTTTACATTTATAAATTATAATGAGAGATTTTATATTTTTGGGTGAATTATCCCTGCTTTAACCCCAACTACGTTGTCCATTGTTGTGTTGCACTAATGAACATGCATTTATGTATTGTGCAAGTCCTCTACCATTCCCTTTAACATTCTAGCTCATGAACTGAAAGGCTAAAAACCTGTTATAAATGCTATAGCTGATTTAGAAAGTACCACACTGAGCTACAGATGTATCTGAGTGTCCATCAAGTGCCCCCTCTAGTGGACACTATAGCAAGCAAACATATTTCATGTCCATTTATGAAGTCATTCCCATCTAGCATTGCAGAAAGCAAAAAGATGATATGATAAGACTTGATTGACTCTAGACTAGGAGCTTTCAACAGGAACTGCAAAGCAAACCTTAACCCAATAAAATACGCGAATAGAGAATTCGAATTAAATGTAAACCATTCGGCATTGTATTATGATGCATACCAGGTTTTTTCAGTGTCGTCTTGAGTTATTTAGTCATTCTCCCTCAATTTTTTTTCAGATGCGTTATCATGACATGACGTCAAGTGTGCGGTCAGTGGTGTATCCAGTGCGCGCGCTTCACAGGCGCGCACTTCAGCATTAAGCGCGTGCTTACAGGTACACTTATCATGTCGTTCACACGCTGGGAATCTGTTGCAGATTAATCCGCTTCTGTTTTGTGTGACACACAATACTAGCCTATATCAGACTGAGTGATATGCGAATGTCCACCAGGCACCTGTTGGAGAGCGCTTTCAGAAACAATGGGTGACATTCTCGACCTCAACCTCAGCGGATGGGGAAGTTTGAACAGGAGTTTCACGGGTCTCCACAAGTTCAGCAGTCTGGAGGACATCGATGTGAGTGCTGACGGAAGCCTCGTCCTGAGGATCATCATCTCGGCTGTTTACTCCGCGGTGTGCGCCGTGGGTTTGGTCGGGAATCTTCTGGTGTTTTTCCTGATGAAGATCAGACAAGGACGAAAGAAATCCATCATTAATTTCTTTGTCATCAATTTAGCTGTCACCGACTTCCAGTTCGTTCTGACCTTGCCCTTCTGGGCAGTGGATACGGTGTTGGATTTCAGCTGGCCGTTTGGTAACGCGATGTGCAAGATCATTTTATCAGTCACTGTGATGAACATGTACGCGAGCGTGTTCTTCCTCACCGCGATGAGCATCACGCGCTACTGGTCTGTCGCGTCCGCCTTAAAAATCCCGTCTCGAACGAAGTGTGTGTCAGTGAAGTGGATCTGCGCGGTGTTGTGGATCCTGGCGACTGTAGCAACAGCTCCAACATCTATTTTCTCCACCGTGACAGTTGTGGCAGGTGAAAAACTCTGTCTCCTCAAGTTTCCAGAAGGACACGATTGGCTCGCGTTGTATCACCTTCAGAAAATTGTCATTGCGTTTATCATGCCCATGTTCATCCTCTCAGTGTGTTATCTTTTACTTCTGAGGTTTATCCGAAAGAGAGGCGCTAATACCCATCAGAGAAGACGATCTAAAGTTGCCAGGTCTGTAACGGTTGTGGTGCTCTCGTTCTTCATCTGCTGGATGCCGAACCATGCGATCACTCTGTGGGGAGTTCTGGTGAAACTCAACGTCGTGCACTGGGACAAGTCGTACTACATGGTTCATACTTACGTTTTCCCCGTGACTGTTTGTCTTGCCCATACTAACAGCTGCTTAAACCCAGTCTTGTATTGTTTAATGCGCCGGGAGTTTAGGAAAATGTTACATAGTTTATTTTGGCGCGTCTCGTCACCTGTTCTTTCGAACGTTGGGAAACTCCATGGATGCAGTGGAGGAAGCAACCAAACACACGATGGCGCGCATATTAGGATTCATTTAAACGTGATTGACGCACAACTCTGCCAACAATCCAGACAATAATAGACCACATTCTGACAGCATTCACAGGACAAATACTGTAGTAGCCTATATTATACTAAAATTAGCTACTCTAGTAAATACTATAGTGTTTTTGAACCATACTATAGTAAAGGTAGCTACTACAGTAAACTGTATTACAAATACTTTAGTAATTTATAGTAAACTTACTATAGAAAATGTTAAATTTCTCTAGTAAATACTATTAACCATATTATAGTAAAGATACTACAGTATTTACTATAGTTAAACAGTTGACTATAGTTACTACTAAAGTATCCGGTATTATAAATTAACAAAGTGTAGTAAATACTATAATATCCCATAGTATACTACAATATAAATCAGTTTACTGTAGTAACTAGTAAGAACTAATACTACAGTATTTACCAGAGATGGGACCAAGTCACACATGTGCAAGTCTCAAGTAAGTCTCAAGTCTTAACCTTCAAGTCTCAAGTAAGTCCCAAGTATTTTTTTCCTGGGCAAGTCAAGTCAAGTCAAGTCACAGGCTATGTCAAGTCAAGTCAAGTCAAGTCTTGTAGTAGGTCAAGTCAAGTCCAAGTCTAGTCACCTTATTATTGTAATTTTACCTGCAGAGTTTGATCTATGGGCGTCAGTTTGGTTTGAAATGAACAGAGGCGCATTCGGAAGTGCATTTGGGAACAATGACGCATTCATTCACTTTTTTCTTTCACGCAGGTCATGTTTTGAAAGATGGTGTCCTGTAGCTTACTAATTTAAAGAAATAAAAATGTATACAAAAATGTGATGTCCGACTTCTTTTATGTAGAAGAAAGCCTTAAAGGGGTCATATAATGGTACATGCACTTTTACAAGTTGATTGTACTGAAATGTGTGTTGGCAGTGCCTGTACACAACCATCATATAATGATAAAAATCCATCCAGTGGTTTTGTTTTAATCTCCTTATATGTTTTCCCCTGCCTCAAATCGAGCCGTTCGACCGTGTGACGTCACAGGCTCGGAAGCCCCTCCCACGATTGTTGAATGACAGCCGCGTTTCAACACAGACCCGCCCTCGCTCGTGAGTGAGCTGTCAATCATAGTCTGCGCGGACCGGCGCGGTCATTGTTGATATGCTGGAGCACTGTCTATGAGCAGAATGGCGTCTAAGCGATTGTGGTGTTCTGTTCTTGGGTGTAATAACGAACACAGTCATTTTAATGTTCCTAAATCCGAACCGCTGAAGACGCAGTGGCTGAGTTTGTTTTCGAAGGGAATATTCCCCACGAGCAACGTCAATGCTCTCATGTTTGCCCGAATCATTTCACACACCAGACTGCTTTATAAACGAGGGTGAGTATAAAGCTGGATTTGCTAAGTAGCTGCTCATGAAAAAAGATCGGTACCAGATATTCGTGTTCCTGCTGAATCTCCAGAAGAACTGAAGTGAGTGTATAACGTTTTATTCAACTTTATATTAATATTTATATCTTTGCAAATCGCTAGCTGCACACTTCACAATGAATGCGTCTAAGGTTTACACTCAGGGTACATTACGGCATGTTTTCTATGTATGACGTTCTCAATATAATTCATAATTCCACGTTTATACTGAACAACGCGTTATGGTTATGGTGTTATTGTGTTACAAACGGTGTACGCACAGAACATAGGGGCGGGGTGAGCAAATTATCATTTAAAGTCATATGCACTGAAACGGCGTGCTGAAAACAGAGCTGTTTTTGACCAAGTAAAATAAGTGTTTTCTTACAATACTAATGAGAATTTTTAATTAAAGTATATTACAAACTTTTAATTTAGACCCCAAAGAATCATATTAGCTTGTACAAAAATGGCATTATATGCCCCTTTTAAGTTTTCAAAAAGCATTAGACATATGACCCACTATTCTGCTTCGTGTAAGTTATTTATCAATGAATTCAAACGCGTTGGCTGGCGCTGAGCCAGAGACATACGCTCTCAGTGCTGTCATATATCACAACTGTTCAGTGTTTTCAACCACATCATTTTTATTTTAGGTTTCAGACATTTAAATACACATAACTACTAGCAAAAAATATATTTGTAGTTTGTAAAATATACACTGATGTCTATGGAAGCGTCAATAATAATCATTTCCATTATAATAAGACGCACGTTTTATTCATATCAGATACACATTGTGTAAGTAGCTTTACATTTTACCCTATTCTTCTCCCAGTTCACCGGTCACTTACTTTCATGTATTTCGTGAGAAGTTGAGAAATTGACGTGTTGTAAACTAACGTTAACATGGCACCGCCCATTCGCACATACAGCTCAACTAACGCGATCATTATAAAGGTGTTTAAACAACAAAACACATCCACTTACACATATTTGACAATCGGAATATCAGTGTTGCATGTTATAGCTAATACATTTGTGAACATTTTGAATAAAACAGGAAAAATTACATAAAAGCAGATCATTCATTCAGCGCTGTGTTGTGGTTGCGCTGTGTCACTTGACAAGCAATGACGCGTCACCATGAAACATTAAAGTGAGTGACAGGTTCTAAATAACGGTCGCCTAGAAAAACTCACGCTGGGGGATCAGTTAGAATAGTTTAAACTTACTTGTGAAAGGGTTAATGGCTACTTTAGCTATTACATTAGCTAACTACCAACTAACATTAACAAATTGACAAGCACTTACTGGGCAGAATGGCTCTTCAAATGACGGACGAAATTGGAGGTTGTCGTCTGGCTGTCCGCAATGTTAATGTTGTAGCCTATGTCTTGCAAAGCGCTGTTCGTCTTTTGCCATCGTGTGAATAATTCTTGAAGCCGAAAGCAATGACCCTCGGTACCCCTCCGGCTGACATTTTGATGTGATATCTGATCTAAGTGGGCGTGGTGTGCGTATAGGTACGAGGTATGACTGATGATAGTGTCGTGATCAACTTTAAAACATTTTTTTATATATATTTTATATTCAAACTGAAAACATGATGTGATTAACACTCAAGTCATTCAAGTCATCGTGTCTCAAGTCAAGTCAAGTCCCGAGTCTTAAACTTCCAAGTCCGAGTCAAGTCTCAAGTATTTCATTTTATGTCAAGTCAAGTCACAAGTCATAAAAATAGCGACTCGTGTCGACTCGAGTCCAAGTCACCAAGTCACAAGTCCCCATGTCTGGTATTTACTACAGTTTATCAGTTTACTTTAGTTGATACTATGATATGATGTAAGGTTAGTAAACACTATAATATAATACAATTTACTACAGTGTAAATGCTAAAGTTTACTACAGTATTTTTTCATGTGGGACAGGTTCTGTTAACTGATGCAACAGTGGACTGATTTCTTTCTGTTTCTGATGAACCAAAGGTGCTCATGAGAAGGTTATGACTTAAAGAACAATGACTGAGTGCGACTTGAACAGTTTAAAGGTGTTTTATTCGTTTGCCCACATACATGCTGGATGTCTGAGTGAAACCTAATGGCTTAAAATACACTCTAAAAAATACTGGGTGGTTTCAACCCATGTTTGGGTCAAATATGGACAAACCTAACCGTTGGTTTACATTTGAACTTTTTACATTTTTAAACCCAATGGTTGGGTTTGACCCATATGTGTGTGAGTGTACAGTGTATATTTTGTTTTCTAAACTATTTCCCTGCTATCATATTTAATTTATTTTCTTGGTTTGATCTTTTCGTGTGATTGAAGTATGTGTAAATTTGAAAAATAAAAAATACACTTAAATGTAAAGATACTCTGAGGTCTGAATCTGTATCTAAAACATGAGTTTTAATCATTTCTTAATATGAACTGTATAATAGCTACATTTATTTCAATATAATTCTGAAAATGCTGTCATCAATTACGAACATCTATGACGTTCTTCTGCAGAACACAAAATATTATATTTCACAATATTTGTCAGGAGACGGATTGGGGTAAGATGTGCCAGTGGGTAAGATGTGTCATCATGTGATCTACCAAACTGTTCACATTATTTATGCTAAAATCGGTTTTGTGCATGTCAGAGATAGCAGGTAATGTATAAAACCGTGTAAATCCCCGGACTAAAGATACATTAAATGAAGCTTTTCTCATAAAATGACAGCTGTGGAATAAAGAGAAGCTCAACTAACAGAGACAGAAAACTTTGCATTCGAGAGCAGGAACACTGTTACATTTACGTCTCATTGATAAACCTAAAACGGGCCGACTATACAAAGAAAAGACAAAAATCATTTTAAAGGATTTTACTGTAAGAAATAGTTGCGGTCCAAGTTCAAAATCATATTGCTTCAGAGAAAAAAAAGTCAGTGCAAGCAAAGAGATTGATAACAACACACTGAATGAATTATATCGAAGGTAAGCCTATAGCAAAAATATTGTGTTTTTTTATAAACTGAATAGTGCAAAGAAGCATTTGTTTACATTTTTGAAGGCATTCTATTATACCACCAATGTCAAATTTCTCAATACTTGCATATCAATTATTGATGAACAGTGTCTGTTCATCTTTTTATACAAAATAAGCAGAAAACAATAGCCTCCTTCATGCTAAGATCACTCACCAAACTTCCTTAAAACGGGGTTTATCGAATATTTCATCGCATCTGTTCTGAGAAAGAGGATTTTGAGGTTAAAGGATCTGATATGCAGATTGGATATCGCAATAAGTGTCTCGACTGCCCTTGTTGATGCCCAGCGTAACTTCATGTTACAATTGCACTTCTTGAGCTAAATATATTAGATGCACATCATTTACACATCCTCGTACATATAAAACATAAGCGCAGACAACTGATCACTTGCATGTGAATTTTCTACTTGCACTATAAACTGACATGGTCTGAATTAACATTTCACTTGTTATTGCCTCCATAGGATTGAGTGCGTTGTTGTATTCCTCTTTTGTAAGTGGCTTTGGATAAAAGCATCTGCTATATGAATAAATGCAAATGTGAATTTAAGCATTTAACAAACACTTTGGTAAATAGGTATCTTTTTAATGAGCCTAATGGCACAAGTGGTTTGATTTCTCTTGTTTTTAGCAGCTTTTAAAAAGCAAACTAACACTAATATCCAGTGAGCACACGGAGAAGACGTCACACATCACACCAGAAAGGCCCAGCCTGCTGTATTTTCAGAGAAGCGTTGGCACGACATGTTCAGGACTCCCTCAAGTGGAAGGTGCATGCATTAGTTTGGGTCACACTTTTATGAGTGAATGACAACTGCTTATGGAAGGTTGTTCCAAAAATATAAGAAATGCATTTGCAATAGATGTCCATGTTGTACTCTTGTCCCATTTACACATTCAGAGCCCCTTAAAGGGACATGGTGATGGAAAACAAACGGATGAAAAAATAATATATTTCAAAATGTTTGCGTCCGCTCACAAAACTTTAATTGTAACGCATTACAATTAGAACGACTTATGTAATCAGATTACTTTTGTAAAGACATTACTTTTAAAATGACAAAAATCTGAGTTACTTTTTAAAAAAGTAATCCAAGTTTTCCCATTAATTGACTGACAGCTCTTTTGTCCCCATGTTGAGAGAAGGGCACACTGTGTAAATATGATGCTGTCTAAATGTGAGCATTTACTCATCTCACTTGCACAAAAACACATTCCTCAAATGAATAAAAATTGTGAAATGCAAACCTGCAATAATTAAATATGTTCAATGATATTATTATGAATTTCATCTAACTTGATTAAACAATTTCTTTGCTGCTAACCTTTGACGATCAAGCAAAAAATTACTTTAGATACACATAATATTTGTGCTTCATTTTTCTGTTTTAATTGCTGATCTTCATGATCCAGAATGCCAGCACAGTTGAAAGGTTTGTTTGACCTTTTTTTTTTTAAGGTTTATACATTTGAATTAATAGTAAAATTCCATCAAAATGGAATGGAATAATCCTTACCCATTTTAATTGAAGAAATTGATTAAGAATTGTTCAATTATTCAATTAAAATATGTAAGGGTTATTCAATTCAATTTGATGGATTTTTACTATTAATTCAAATGTGTAAATCTTAAAAAAAAGGCTTCATTTTTTTTTGAGTGTCTACAGGCGTGAATTTGTATTTGCTTCATCCTGAGGCTTATTCATTTCACTTTTGGTGTGAAAGGGTCTTTACATTTGCCAAAAATGGAACATTTGTACTTTGTTATATATATAGAAAACAACAACAAAAACGAGCAAGCCCAGCCCAAGTTTTAGAGAGTAACGCATTACTTTAAAAAGTAACTTTCCCCAACACTGCCTTATGTTTACCACATTTAAAAGGACAAAACCTCCAAAAATAAGACATCAACAAATCCTTTGTGTAACAATACAGAAACAGCTGTATTCAAGTAATCAAGCTGTAAATACAGCCTTGTCAAACATGCTAGACTTTTGATTTTAATAATATTCTTTTGTCAGGCATCACATCAAGTTTGGTACTTTCTCGAATGGTTCAAATTTCCTTTATTTTGCATCCCCCCCCCCCCCATAATAATTTACATAATAATACAAAACAATGTATTCCACAATGTATTATTCATAAACACAGCTGATGTTAAATAGAGCAGCAATAAACAACAACGTTTGTTTTCTTAAATTATAGACGCATTACGTCAAAACATTTTAGTTTAGCACGCATTATCACACAATGGGAAAAATGCATCATCATTCACATATATTGGTCACTAAATGTGTCAGTATTTTGCTATTAATCACATCTTGCGAAGACATATTATTATTACAGCCGAACTGAAAAACTCCAGAAATCCAGTCTCTGACGAGCAAAAGAGCTCGAGCCGGTTCCTCACGGATCCTTTCTGTCTGTATTCAGTCCGTCTCTGCCGTCAGAAATCTCCCTGCTACTCAAGTCCTGTATATTCGACATTATCAAATCCCCTAATTCCATTTGACTGTCTTCCAGTGGATGGGAAGCGAAATCCCCTTCGACCTTCTCCACCTCCTCTTCAGGCTTAATCCCTATAGTGTCAGGGATGATCTCCACCTCGATATCTGAAGAATCCTCGCTCTCCTTGAACCAGACGCTCTTGTGTCTGTCATCCTTCCTCCTCTCTTTAGCCAGAATGGACTTGACTCTCTGCTTATTGGCCTTCCCTTTGGTTTGGACGACTGGACTGTGATGGGAATGGTTGAAACTCGTCTGGAGTCCACAGGATCGGCAGTGCCTCAGTCTTTCACGAGGAATCACTCGCACTCTTGCTGCTTGAACCGCATCCAGTCTCCCTTCTCTCAGTTCAGCTCGCCTGGCTCTGGATCTCCCTGTGTCTCCTTCATTTAAGAAACCATCATTGTTGAACTGCATGCTATCTCTCGGTCTTGGCCTGTTAGGGGGCTGAGTAAACTTCAAGCATGACCCTAAACACTGAATGAGGGCAGAGGGTTAATCTCACAATTTCATGAGCTGAATATTACCTGCTGTACTACATGTTTACGGCGTTCTTAAGGAACTTTCTCTTAAAGGGGACATATCATGAAAATGTAAGTGCTATAATCGGGTCCCCGGTGCTTCTGCCAACCCAGAAAACATGAAAAGTGACAACCTAGCTTTGTTTTGGTTAGCCTTTCTCTGCAAGCATGTCAAAAAATAAGCCGATCAGATTTCGCTCCCCTTCTGACGTAGGAAGAGGATCTTATTATAATATTACCGGCCCTTAATCTGCACGTTTACACCCACGGCGACGCCATTTGGTTTTCTCGAGCGACAACAGTGACCAGTCCTAACACAACGGCAAAAGTTCGAGCAAAGCCTGAAACCGTTCTGTCGTACAGACGAGCACTGAACACTACTGACCAAAACATGTCCCATCTGTCTTATAAAGACCTCAGGGAACTGTCAACTTGTGTAAAAGTTAAACATGACGGTACATGCAAGTCAATGTAACTCCACAACAACTACATAAATGTCTCCACTAACCATTCAGAAACGTCTAAAAGTGAAACTCTTCCTGAGTCTCTCCGTAAGGCTTCACTCGCTACTGGTTATCTCAGAGATTTTGGATGAGTGAGATTCGCCTGTTTTGTTATTGCCGGAGTATCTGAAGCTCGTGTAACGGATCGGCCTCTTCTGAACGGGGGCGGAGCAGAAGCTCGTTTGCATTTAAAGGCTAAGCACCCAAAAAGGGGCAAATTTGACAAGCTGTAATAAATGATCTGGGGCTGAAATTTCACAGACACATTCTTGTGAAAAGAGGTATAATATGTCACCCTTTAAGCCTCAGTTCTTTTACAAAGTGGACACTCAGAGCTGGACTCACTGAGCTTTGATGAGAAGATGCTGACCTCAGACAACTTGAACGCGTCAGGATTCCCCTTCTTGACACGGGATATCAGATAGCCGATCACAATGAGGCAGAGCACCAGTAAAGCGGCCATTACGAAGCCCAGTAAAGCCATGTCTCCTGCGCGGAAGCTCTCGTCGGGCGACTGGACCCCCGCGGCTGATATGGAGAAACGTTAGACAGCCATCATGCTGGATAAACATTAGGACTTTCACACTGAGTGGGTTAAAGGTTCTCTAAGCGATCCTGGGTGACGTCACTTCTTGTTGACGTTCGAACTATTGTCAAACAAAACGGAGGCTAGCTAGACCCTCCCTCCTCCTCATCCGCACACTAACCCCCCAAACCACACCCCCAAACCCTTCTTGTCGGTCATTGGCTGGAACAGTTTGTTATGTTTCGTGGTGCGGGTTAGCCCAGTTTGTTTTTGTTGCCGTTTGTGGAGCCTGGGGTGTCTGCAGAGACCGCGTTTTTTTACAGTGTGTTCAGGGGACAGGCAGCCAGCGGATAGTGAGGAGATGTTTGCTGTATGTGACAAAAAACATTTTGGCCTAAAAAACGCGTGACATCGCTTAGAGCACCTTTAATTAACATTTTAGAGGCAAACTTACATGGTATGACAAGGACAGCGAGAGCAGCGGTCCCTGACTCACCAGTGGACACGTCCACCGCCCGAAGCTGGAGATAAAAGAAACAATTCTCAAATTCAGACTTCTGTTTGAAAGATTTTAGCCTTAACATTGACAGAAGTTTGCAGCAGCAAAGTAACCGGAAGTCTTTTGGACCTACTTTATATAAAGTGTCTTTAAAAACAGTGTGCAAACTATGTACATACCCATGCAATACAAATAGAATTTATTTATTTATGTATTTAATGTAAGTACATACACTGTAAAAAAAACATTATGACCTCAATAGCAGCAAGTGTTTTCCAGTACAACAAAGACATTTTATTTTATTATTACACGAGTACATACACTGTAAAAAGATTATGCTTTGCAATACAACATAGACTATATTTTATTTTATTTTTATGTAAGTACATACACTGTAAAAAAGATTATGACATCAATAGCAGCAAGTGTTTTGCTATTCAACATAGACATTATTTTATTTTATATATATTTGATATTTTAGTTAACACTTTATTTTAAGGTGACGTAGTTACACACTACCACATGTACTTACTATAGTAATAACTGTAAGTTATGCATAATTACAAGTAACTAACCCAAATCAAACCCTAACTTTATAGTAAGTACATGTAGTTAATTAATATTACTCAGCTCAGTACTTACTAGAGTTAGTAAAATGTAACTATGTCACCATGAAATAAAGTCTAACCTGATTATTTTATTTTATTAATTTATTTTTATGCAAGTACACTGTAAAACAAAGATTGTGTTTTGCAATACAACATAGACATTTTATTATTTTATTTTATCTATTTTTTATTTTATTTTCATGTATTCTGTCCACTTCAATGTTTTCTTTGTTGTTGTTGTTTTTTTACCAGCAATTACAATGAAACTTCAAAGTAAATCTTTCACCACACTATTTTCACTATAGTAGTTAAAGATGCTTATATAAAGGGGCCAGTCTTTCAATAGCCAGACATGACAAAACCATAAGTGGTAAAAGCTTTGGTAAATGCTATGCTTTTAGTAAGGGTTGACAAATTACTTGCTGAAACCAGTTGTGTCTGTTTAGGACACATGTAGAATCATAAAGAGGACCATGTAACTGTGAAAGTAGACTGATTTCATCTGCTATCAACTATGTTGTGGTTAAAATATCCTCAAAGTAGATGCAACTAAACATATTTACTTGCCTGCAAAGCGAAGGAATCGGTCCGAACTGCTTTCTTCAAAAGTATAAACCCATCTGTTGTGATATTGACATAGCTGCTGTATTGCACTTCATATTTTATGTCAGGATTGATTCCCTGAAAAATAAAGGGAGAAACTGCCAATCTCTTATTAAATGTGTTTCATGTTTATGGGTGACCATAATTTTAAACTTAAAACTTACACTTGCGAAATCTTCATCCCTTGCTCTGACTCTGAAGGGTCTGTTGGTCGTCCTGTCTCTTAGCACCATGTTTTCAGGCCCTGAACTAATGTAAACATACCCTTCATATCGTTCTTTCTCAAACCTCGGAGGATTTCTGCTCTTTTTCATTACATCAATGGTGACTGAAGTGGTGGCAAACTGATCTCGGTTTAATACCTGGGAAGCCTATGAAGGACAAATAAAGGAAGGCCGCTGTTATCAAAATTATGCAGTGATTCAGCTGTATCTGCTCTCAGGCTCAAGCAGATCTTGTGAGGATGACATCTCAAAGTCTTTATAATATATGTCCAAGAAACTCACCAAAACTAAGAGGGAGATTGGGCCTGCTATATCTGCTGGTTTCAGCATTGATATGTTGCCGGAGTTCTCATCAATCTGAAATATGTTGTCTTCATTTCCTAGGCAGTTACAGAAAAGATTGCTTGTGTAGCTCATGTTGAAAATTGAGGGGAAACAGTTATGTTAGGAAAAATGCTTTACTACCTCGAACAATTTTATAGCTTATCTCTTCATTTCTGCTTTTATCTCCATCTCTGGCATACACTGGACCTGGCTGCAACTGCAAGGCTCCATCCTGAAATTATACATGTTGTATGGAAAATTTTGAAATACAGCATTACATCTATTAACCATGGTCATAATATGAATGATAATGTACCTGCTTCTCTGTTAAGTTCACCCTGCCCCTGTAGCCGAGGCTCAGGCAGATTTTGGCATTACCAGTGGTTACTCTTGTACATGGTTGAAACCACGGAGGACGGTTATCAATATCTTTAATATTGACGGTGATGGTTGCTGTAGCTGTGAAGGAGCGTTCACTCGGTTGTGATGGCAGTGGAGTATGTTGCAATGGCAGTGGAGTATCCTGATAGAGTCAAGACTTGTTGTTGTTAAACGTAAGATCAGAACTTTTAACGCATTCAAATTCAAATTAATTTCACATACCTGTGCATACAAGATCAGTTTCACTTGTTGGATGACATCGTAATCTAAAACTTTGTTCACAAGGATTTTTGGCGTATACATGTTCTCAAGTCTGAAGTATCTGTTCTGTAAAGAAATGTTCATATTAAAGTAATGGTTCAAGCAAAAATGGCATTAAAGCCAAGTGCACAGTGTACAATTTATAATAGTCCTTTACGATTGTTGCTTGTTGTCAGTGTAACATTTAAAGTCCAAAGATGATGAAGATAGGTGAGGTAGTTTAAAATACCAGAGTAGTTTAATAAATAAAGCAACACACATCATCCGAAGGGATCGAGCATAACGCGGCACAAACAATACCGGACACTGAAGGCAGTGAGGAACTTAAATACAAAATGATAATGAACACAAATACGAACAGATGTGATGCTTTAATAAATTATCATGACAACTAAGGGCTGAAAAAGAAACAGGTAACTAAGGAAAACAAACTAAAAGTCCATGAAAACGAAAGTTAGCACTGACAGAACACTGAAGGTTAATGAGGTGCCGTCGCAGACCAGGAACCAGGCAGGGATGCCAGCAGAAGAAACCAGGGTGGAGTTGATGGTAGGAGGTCTCATGGAGGAGCGGACGGCTGACAAGAGCCCAGAGTGACCCAAGAGACAGCCAGGAGGAAGATGACCCATGGCAGAACTGATGGAGGGAGGAGCCAAGGTGGAAACTTGAGCCCAAACAACAGCAGTGATGCTGGGAGATGTGGAGGCCCGGGTGGAGTCCAATGGACCGAGAGACCAGGCGACATTGATGGACCAGGAGACCAAGGCGGAGACGTGGTGATGAGGTGGAGCCTGGGTGCCTGAGGACTGAGTATTCTGAATTAATATTCTAGACTGATTATTCTATGCTACATTCTGTAATTGTAGGCAGCGTATGTGATGTATGAAATGAAACAAAGATTCCATTTGGAACCCTGGAGCCATTATTTAAATGAATCTTGGCATAGATCACATGCATCATTCTGGTTCCATCGCCTGTTACTTGGATACCATTGTGCGCCATCAGCATTCCATGTGTAAAGGAACGTGCAGTGCTCAGGATACTCAGACTGAGGACCTGACTCAACGGTGTGAGTTAGGATAGAGGCGGAACCGGAGGGAAGGAGGAGCCAGACGGAGCCGTAGCGGTGGAGGAATGAGGCACAGCCGAAGGTCCAGAAGACCGTGGCAACGGTAGAGTGACGACAGCCCAAGGTCGAGCAGGAAGGACGATGGTCCTAGGTGGAGCCGAGGGGGCGAGGAGCCACGGCGTAGCCAAGGTGGAACTGATGGAGGGAGGAGCGAAAGTGGAAACATGAGCCCAAACAACAACGGTGATGCCGGGAGATGTGGAGGCCCAGGAGAAGTCTGATGGCCCGAGAGATCAGGCGACATTGAAGGATCAGAAGACCAAGGCGGAGATGATAAGTGGGCGAGGTGGAGCCTGGGTGCCTGAGGACTGAGGTGACATCGGTGTGAGTGAGGACAGAGGTGGAGCCATAGGGGTGGAGGAACGGTCCGGAAGTCCATGGCGATGGTAGAGTGACGACAACCCAAGGTAGAGCCGGAAGGACGATGGTCCCAGGTGGAGCTGAGGGGGCGAGGAGCCAGGGTGGAGCCGAGGTAGAGCTGAGGGCTCACAGGAATGAAGCGGAGCCAATGAATTCCCACGCCATGACCGAGCTGGTGACTGCAAGCCCCAAGGTGGATCCGGGTTGTATGGCGGAGCCAATAGGGGTGCCGAAGGGCTGAAGGAATGGCTAGCTTCAGTGGAGCAGACAGGAGAGGAAGGCTGGGTGTAAACATCAGTGGCATAGAACAGGTGCTGGGTGAGGAAACAATTTTGGTGTTCGACTGGACTAGTGGCGACAGAGACAACTCTGTGCTGGACGGGACCTCTAGAGGCAGAAGAGGTTCATGGGTGGATATCAGGGTGGCTAGCGCTACCTCTGTCTCCAAGTCTATCAGCCACTAATATTCCCACTGGCACGGATGTCGCAGACAGGTAAATCATGGCCAAAATCATACAGTGTGAACCCAGCTTTACTCATACTGATATTGTGCCAAACCAATAGCTCTAAATTCTCATTCAAGCTTGCACATTTTTAAACATAACTGTTGGAGTTGATCACAAGCCGTATGAGAGCCAATGGGATTTCCCATCATTGGAATCAGACCTGACATTAAGCATTTTGAAGGACCATGTTTGATTTTCAGCTATTAATTACTTAATGGGATAGTTCAACCAAAGATAAAAATTCAGCCATCAATCACTCACTCTCATGCCATCCAAATCCACAAGACTTTCATTCATCTTTGAAACCTTCTGTACCTCCATTAAAGATCCATTCACCCAAAACCTTGACGCTTCAAAAGGTTCATAATTTATATGAAGCGAGCAGTTTAATCCAAGTCTTCTGAAGAGACACAATCACTTTATATGATGAACAGAGTCAGACTTTTATTCACATATAAACATTGATCAACACACATACTGTACATAGAGCACATGGTAAATGGTCATGTGGCGAGTAGGACGAGGTGGCGTGATTACTGATGAACGCACTGGTCTCGTATCTCTCACAGATGAGCGGAAGCATAAAAGGAGGAGCGACGACAGTGAAGGATGAGAGAGGACAGGCCTGGATTTATGTTGTGTTTTGTTTCTGTTTTATTATATGTGGCAGCAGTCGTACGTGAGGGACTGCTGCCTTTACTTTCGTTTTGTATTGGTTTATTTTATTATTAAAGTCTGTGAACGTTCGCCGGTTCCCGCCTCCTCCTTCCCATAACAAGTAACTTTGCTACAGGTCACTCACTCTACCGAAACTAATTGGTTCTGGCTCCTCATAATAGGTGATTGTGTCTCCTGAGTAGACTTGCATTAAACTGCTCTATTCATATGGATTGTGTTTGCTCATTATTAACCTATTATGTCATTATAAACATTTTAAAGCATTTACCCAAGCTGAAGTTTTGGGTGAAATAGACTTTCCATGGAGGGACAGAAATCTCTCAGATTTCATTAAAAATATCTTCATTTGTGTTTTGAAGATGAATGAAAGTCTTACGAGTTTGGAACGACATGAGGGTGAGTAACTAACAGCAGTTCAGACTATACCGTTGAGTTTCACTTGGATCTTCACACAAAGAGATCATATGACTTCGGAAGACTTGTGATATCACACTAGTCACATTTATGATGCTTTTGTGGTTCTGTTTTGTCTTTTTTGAGCTTAACAGCCCTTGGTTCTTTCGCTATATGAAAAAGAGCACCTTGGACATTCTGCTAAACGTCTCCTGTTGTGGTCTACAGAAGAAAGAAACTCATATGGGTTTGAAACAACATGAGTATAAGTGAATGATGTAATTTTTAGGTGTGCTATTCATGAATTTGTAGAAATCTAGATAAAAGGAATTGTTTACTTACCAAAGTTGGTTCTATAGAATAATACAGAACCTCAGAATCATCATCGATTGCTTCAATCAGGCCAATGCTGGTATTAACTGGTGTGAGCTGTGCAACACACACACAATGTAACATTTATGGACTAGAATGACAACATCCTTACATTGAAAGTTGGTCTAGAAACTGTTTGCTGTCTGACTTAACTTGTATTACTTATTTTTGGTTGATTAGAAAGTCGATTAAGCCACAAATCTGAACACTTGCTCTAAAATTCAGACAGTACAAATGTTGTTCCAGGACCAACTTACTAGGACAAACGTTGAATAACATGCTCTCACCTCATTTACGTTAAGTGTGTACTCGCTCTGGCCAAATGAAGGATTGTTGTCATTGATATTCTCAACACGAACAATCACAATCAGAGTGATCTGTAGATAAAATGTACAAATGCATATAAAAAGGTCAAAACTACAGATCTAACAGCTGGCTTCATCTTTCAAAAAAATAACAGAGAAAAACTATTATACCAATCTGCAATTTACGCTAACAGAGACCCCCAAAATAAGTGGGACACTAAAAATGCATGGATGTCTTCACATTAAAAATATTCGAAAACTGGAACTAAAGTGAACGGGTATTTAATACTAGGAATAAAGTGTTAATCGGGTAGGGTTAGGGGTATGTGTCGGGAGAGATTTGTCCCAATTACACTCAATATGTTGTTATTACTGTTTAATACTACAATACACAAATACAGTAGTCAACATTTGAAGTGGATCAAAAAAGTTCATCAAAGTTGTCCTAAGACAAGAACCTGTATTGTTCAAAATTCATATATAAGTTTGATGAAAGGTTTTGATCCACTTCAAATGTTGACTACTCTAGTATCTGCCAGCCAAGTATAAATGGCATCTAAATACTATTAACACTTAGTGCAATGAAAATGCTGCTCTTTTTACTTCTTTGCACAGAGAAAATAGTCTCTGACTTTTTGTTTTACATTCATCAGCATAGAATTCATTTACTTGTAATTGTACTTGTGAGTAACTTACACTTCTGTATCCAGTTTTATTACACCGGACCTGCACAGTTAGCTCTTCAGGACCTGAAAGTGTCTGGAAAACAGGTTAATATCAACTGAAGTTAGGATCAAACTGCTGTGATTGTTCATTGTGCATTTTCATCATGTTTAACCAAAGTCATATTAACTTAAGATCAGTCAAATATTTGGAAGATGGCAGCTGGTTTGTTGTCGGTCCAGTTTGGTCCACCACCAGGTTTAAACCAGGTCAACTGGCTGTTAATTTGTCCGATTAACCATCATCTGAACCAGCTTGGATCAGATAGTGACCACGAATGAATAGCTAGATACCATGTAAACACAGCTGCCATCTTAACACTGCAAAAAAAGTTTTTCTTGCTTAGTATTTTTGTCTTGCTTTTCATTAAAAATATATAAAAATTCTTAGTTCAAGATACATTTACTTGAGAAGCAAAATATTTTTTTTATTAAAATATTAAGATATTAAATAATTTGTGCTTAAAACAAGAACAAAATTCTGACAGTGGGGTCAGAAATATAATAAAAACGACAGATATTTTTTTCTTGTTTCAAGCACAAACTTCATTTGGATTTTTTTTCTCTCCAGAAAACAAGACTTAATATCTTTATTAAGTTAAGTTATTTAAGTTATTTTGCATCTCAAGTAAATGTATCTTGATTTAAGAATGTTTCGATATTTGTACCGGGAAAAAAACAACAAAAAATACTGAGGAAGCAAATAATTTTTGCAGTGAAGCAGGTTTTAACTGGCTTTTCTAGCAGGATCATCATAGTCTTGTTACTCAAATTGTGCACAAGACAATGGAAAGTCATGAAATAAACATACTTCAAAGTCCAGGCCTTTCTTTGCTATCAGTTCTGAACCTCTCAGATAGAATGAGTTTCCAGGATTCTCTGTGAGATTCAGCGTTACATCCTTTGTTGTTGTGTTAATATGGACAACGACTGTGTCATCTGCGTTGTTCTCTTTAATCGTCACAGGCTCTGAAGGGGCTGTACAAACTGCAGAGAGAAAACAAATATTACCAAGTACTATATTACCTTTATATTAAGTTGTGCTTCACCGCTGGCAAAATGGGCCTATACAGTAGAAAGGTGTTTTTTTAAATTATTATTATGAACACTTCAACACCCATAATGCACTGGGCATGTTGCCATCCAAGGCCACTCCCACCCGCACGCTATAATACGCTTACGGACTCAAATAACATATTTTCTTTAGGAGGAAATACTTCTTAGCAAACTTTTAGTCACAATGGTATCGACTTGTTTTGTTCCCGGGTGCCAGAATTAAAAAAAATGAACGTTTAGCAGAAGTGAGTTACTTTCGGTTTCCAGTGACGGATCCGGCACGTTGAAGGCAGCGGCTAAAGGATGCAAAGAATCGTAAATATTGAGAGAATTACGAGACGGGAAATCTGAAAAACTTCCATGTTTGTAGTCAACATTTCAAACTGGATGACAGCGAACACAAGTGTTTTAGGCGTAACGAAGGGGAAAAACTGAAAGACATGGAGCTGTCAAAAGTCATAAGTAAATGTGAATTGGGTAACACGGAGAACGAGAAAACATTCTTCAATTACATATACTGACAATACAAAGTGTGTTGAAAACCCACTAACATTTAAATTGATACAGTGCAATTATGTACATCCAAGTACATTACATTGTAATTACATCTATAATTACACAACCTACCCATACCACCAAACCTGTCCTAACCTTCCCCGTATCCACCTCAATAGCAATACAACATCAACACAATGCGTTTATTGAACCTAACAATTATTATTATTAATTTTGATGTATGCACATAAAGACACCAAATATAAAGTGTGACCCATTTTAAGGGGCATTTTTTCATGACACAGTGAGTGTAGGAAAGTATTTTGAACATTAGACACATTTCCAACTTCTACATTCTCTAAATCCAATGACAATGAACAGACATGGCGTCTTTTTATTGCCACTGCCCGAGCTGAAATCACTTAAATTTGGGGTTGATCGGGACACTCAATGGCAAGAAGTGTCCCAATCACTCTAAATTCACCCCTACATCATACAAATACCCACAGAGAGAGACTGATACATGTTGCACCGACACAATAGTGTTGCTGATGACAGTTCACCAAATAGCCTATTTCAATCTAATATCTGAAACAAGAGTTACTTACTTTTATCAGCAAAGCAGATTTTGGGGAGGAATACTGCAAATACACAGCCGAAGATGGTCGTTGTGGATTTACGCTTAAATTGCATGTCTATTTCCTAGTTTCTGATGCACACAAATAAGTATGGAGGACTATGAGACCGTGGCACCAGCTGGTACTTCTCCACATAAAGCATTGACTGTGTTTCTCGATGAGTGGGAGTCGACTCCAGTCGCAATGTTTGTGACTTCATCTTACGGTCATATATTGCCTAAAGAGCTTGCCAGCAGTCGACTGCTCCCTCCCACCCAAATACTTGCATCTGTTTTTCAGGGGTCATTTTGTATTTGTCCAAGTATTCCACTGCTGTGTGAAATCTGATAATGTGAAACATGCTAAAATTACTTTGTGAGTCTAGCCTGATGACCAGGACTTGACGCATAAAAATGAATGCTATCTGTTAAATAAATTACAGAATAAATATGGTGAGAAATAAAATAAAATTTGGTTACATTTTAGACATTCTACTAACTATAAGTAACTTTGTAAATACATGTCAACTAGCAGTCATTAGAGTATTAGTAGACTGTGTTTAATATCTGCTAACATTTTATTTTGATGCCCCGCAACAGACTATAAGTAACTTTGAATCCGAACCCAAACTAACAGTCTCCTAATAGCTACTCTAAGGGCCGGTTCACACAACGTTTTTTTGCTGTTAAAAATGCGAGACGTGAGCGCAGCGGTTACAGATATCATTCTAGTGCGTGTTAACATTGAAAAACAATGGGAAAGTAGTGCAGTGGAAAGGAAAAACGTGTTCTATGTGAACCGGCCCTAATAACAGTTAGTTGACGTGTAGTGTCTAAAGTGGACCATTGAAATAAAGTGAACTCTAAAATGTAAATAATAACTAGGTAAAAAAAAAATTGTCAAGACAAACTTTGCAGTTGGCTTGAGAAAGCCTAACCAGAAAGTTAGAAAAAGTTTGAAAAGCTTGAAGTTTAAAGGTTTTCAGTTTGAAGTATGAACGTTTGACTGCAGTACAGTCAGACAGATAGACAGACAGACAGAGATAGATAGATAGATAAATAGATAGATAGATAGATAGATAGATAGATAGATAGATAGATAGATAGATAGATAGATAGATAGATAGATAGATAGATAGATAATAATAATAATAATAATAATTCATCACATTTATATAGCGCTTTTCTGGACACTCAAAGCGCTTCACATAGAAGGGGGGATCTCCTCAACCACCACCAATGTGCAGCATCCACCTGGATGATGTGACGGCAGCCATATTGCGCCAGAACGCCCACCACACACCAGCTTACTGGTGGAGAGGAGACAGAGTGATGAAGCCAATTGGTATATATATATGGGGATGATTAGGAGGCCATGAATGACAGAGGCCACTGGGCAAATTTGGCCAGGATGCCGGGGTTACACCCCTCCTCTTTCGAAAGACATCCTGGGATTTTTTGTGACCACAGAGAGTCAGGACCTCGGTTTAACGTCTCATCCGAAGGACGGTGCTCAATTTACAGTATAGTGTCCCCGTCACTACACTGGGGTGTTAGATAGATAGATAGATAGATAGATAGATAGATAGATAGATAGATAGATAGATAGATAGATAGATAGATAGATAGATAGATAGATAGATAGATAGATAGATCTGTATGTTGCGAGCATGTTTCTAACATGATTTAGCATTTTGCTAGAATTATTTAGCATTTTACTAGCATGATATAAGACATTGCTAACATGCTGCTACCATGATTTAGCATTTTGCTAGAATGATTTAGCACTGCTAGAATGATTTAATACATTGTTAGAATATCACTAGCATGATTTAACATGTTGCTAACAAGATTTAACACATTAATAGCAGCTTGTTAACATGATTTAGCATGTTAGCATGATTTAACATGTTGCTAAAATTATTATTAGCGTGCAGTTCTGTTTATTAACCGCTAGAGCGCCGAAAGTTACGGACTGCAGCTTTAAGTGTAGTGGTTTTGATTTCAGATTCTATGATGTGTGAAAGTTCTAGCCAGACTTGTGTGATGATGTGTGCTACTGATCACTGACCAAGTCTGAGAGTGAGAGAACACACTCCCTTTATGCAGTGTGCTGTTTATTTGAGCCTATTTGTTTGTAGTATTTAATTAATTTCCTTGAAAATATTTTCCGTCACGCCCAGCCAATCAGAGCTCTTCTCTGCCACATGCGACCGTGACATCCACTGGTATAATGCATGTTTGTAGAGCTCCCCCCCCCCCCACGCCACTGCTTCTTTGTGTGGGAACAACAGCAACACAGTGTCACATGAAGCAGACACATTGTGCAGCCAGATGTAGATGTACACACATGTAGATGTGTGTTCCTGTCATGGTCCTTAAGCAGGCCTCGAACAGCTGAGCCGTAGGATGCATTGTTTAGCAAAACAATCTCAGCATTTCTCACACTCTTAGAAAAGTTCTCTATAGAACTCTACGGTTCTTGACTTAATTTTAAAGAACCCTTTATGCCAAAAAGGTTCTATATAAGGAGACATGTCTTAAAGGGTTAGTTCGCCCAAAAATGAAAATTATGTCATTAATGACTCTCCCTCATGTCGTTCCAAGCCCGTAAGACCTCCGTTCATCTCCGAAACACAGTTTAAGATATTTTAGATTAAGTCCGAGAGCTTTCTGTCCCTCCATTGAAAATGTATGTACGGTATACTGTCCTTGTCCAGAAAGGAAATAAAGACATCATCAAAGTAGTCCATGTGACATCAGTGGGTTAGTTAGAATGTGTTGAAGCATCGAAAATACATTTTGGTCCAAAAATAACAAAAACTAGGACTTTATTCAGCATTGTATTTTTTCCGGTTCTGTTGTGGATCCACGTTCAGTGCCGCCGCTGACGTAAGACGCTGCTGACGTGTGTCTGGTGTGTGTGTGTGTGTGTGTGTGTGTGTGTGACGTAAGACGCTGCTGACGTGTGTCTGGTGCGCCTGAGCTTCGGTTACAGTCTGAGGGAGACGCACGCTGGAAACAAAACAATCTTCGCAAACATGTCTAAGGATTTCCACACAGAGGAAGACTTGCATTTTTTTGCCCAGCCATATTTATTTGAACCCGAATACTCGGACGCACCAGAGACACGTCAGCAGCGTCTTACGTCAGCGGCGGCACTGAACGCGGATCCACAACAGAACCAGAATACACACACACACACACACCAGACACACGTCAGCAGCGTCTTACGTCAGCGGCGGCACTGAACGCGGATCCACAACAGAACCAGAATACACACACACACACACACCAGACACACGTCAGCAGCGTCTTACGTCAGCGGCGGCACTGAACGCGGATCCACAACAGAACCAGAACACACACACACACACACACACACACACACCAGACACACGTCAGCAGCGTCTTACGTCAGCAGCGTATTTTTCACATATAACCTGTTTAAAGTTAGCAAGTCTCTTCATTTTTCAGACACAGGAAAATGAATGTTTTTAGAAAAAAAAAACAATAAGAGGAAAAATATTATTTCCACGAATGTAGACGAGACAGTCCCTTGGAATAGTCCCTTGCTGAATACTCAAAATGGGGAGTAAAAAACTAACAAAAGAATTGCAAGTTTGCAATGCCGCTTGCGTCCACAGAGCGGCGCTAATGTGTCAAACATGGCGAGCGAGGATTTTTCTGGAAACAACAGTAGCAAAAAACACTCGTTCTGAATCGGCTTTATTCACATCAACAACAAAAATAATGTCCGTGTTTTTATTCCGGATGTCAACTGTGGTGAAACAGCAATGAAGAAAACTCACCAGTGTTTCCCACAGAGTAGAAAGCAATTTGTGGTGGTGGACGAGTAACACTGGAGTTTGGTTTAGTGAATAAGAAGTTATAATCAATAAATATGAAATAGTGTGATTTCAGAGAGGTTTGACATTTAGGCCTAATTGAAGACAACATTATGTTAACCGAGAAGTTTTTGTATACTGACCAAAAGAGAGAAGTAGGCTACATCCTGCTAATTCAGTGGTAAGAATTTAATTGTTGTTTTTATATTGTTGTCTATTTATCGAACTTCCATGCCGTTTATATAGTATATTACTATGTATGTACCAAGGATGTAGTTACATTCAAGCTATTTTAAGGCATGAAGATTTTTTTTCAAGGAAAAAACGTTTAAATTATGTTTTATTAACAAAGTTCAGGAGAAGCACGTTCAGATAATTAAACCTAACACATGTGGAGCCCATTCAGATAATCAAACCTAATTAGACACGAGTGGAGCACACTCTGTTAATCAACCCAATCAACGAGTTAAGCGGTGCATATATACAGCAAACTTATCTCCGTTCGTTGACAGTTTAACAGCATCCCTCCACCACCCCATCTCCTCACTTCTAGTCCTAATACTCTTACAACAACGGGGGGAGTACTCTGGGTTCGGAGCTATAATAAGAAAACAACGATGCTATCAACACATTGCTATGATCATGCAGATGCACGTAAATGGCGGCCTGTGGTGTGGGAACGACAGCGCTCCAAACAGTTCTGGGCGATCGTGGTTCAGAGACACTTCACAGAAACGCTTTGGTTGAATTATTGGTAACACTTTATTTTAAGGTGCTTGTAATAAGCAGTAATTAGCAGTTAATAAGACACTTATAAGACCTTATAAGATGCATATAAGATGCATATAAGCATTAACTAATGATAATAAATAAATTAAATTAAATTATACATTTCTCAAGTATCAATACATTGCACTTTTAGAACAGCCGAACAAACGTAAATGGTAACACAAACTCCCAGTCACTTAAAAATTGACCTTCCCAAGAGGGAGTAGTTTCCCTGATCTCTTTAGGGCCTGAACCTTTAATTAACCCTTATATGAAGTAGTTAATGCTTATATGCATCTTATATGCATCTTATATGCATCTTATAAGGTCTTATAAGTGTCATATTAACTGTTAATTACTGCTTATTACAAGCACCTTAAAATAAAGTGTTACCGAATTATTTTCGGATGACCAAGACAACATTTGACCTGTTGTGTAATTTTATTGGCCGGTTCAAACCGAGAAGCGTATCGCCATTGCGCTCTACAAACTGGCTACATGCGCAGAGTACAGAGTGGTAGGCGAAACGTTTGGAGTCAGCAAAACCACCGTGCACCGGTGTGTTCACGGCGTGTGCAATGCCATACGAACGAGGATGATGCAAAGATATACCTACCTGGAGTGGATGAGACGCATGATATCTCGCTGCGTAACTCCAGAGCACACCTTGTGCCACAGGTGTATGGC